TATAGCACCAGTCAAACAAAAGCAATAGCAGAAAACAAGTACATTACAGTTTTAGAATGCTTTCACCAGAAATGTATATGAAGTGTTGTTTGATTGGAGATGACAGTTAAACAATTTAAAACCTTTGCAGATTTTCAGCATAGGAATCTGAAGGCAAAAGGTATTATCAAATGGTCAATGCAGATTTAAAAAACCCAGCACTAAGTTATACTGGAAAAAAGAATTACAGTTAGAATGAAATTTCACAAAAGCATCTGAATTCTGAGTCAAGTATGTTTTAAGCACTGCAAACCCACATGCTAAGATTTAGACATGTATGGGCTTCTGGAGACCTTGTACAAGTGATCCAATTCTACCTTCTTTTAGATACTTATAATTTGCAATAGCAAGAGTTTCTTTCCACCAGATAATAAGGTGATGGAAAGATAAGTGCTTTACTCTCAGCAGATGTCCTTGAGCATAGCACCTGAAATTCAGTGTACCGTATCAAGTGTATGTAGTGGTTAACTGCAGCGAAATGTGTTGTCTTCTAGAGTGCTGAAAAAAAATTTTCATAGAAACTCCGTAACTTGCTACCTTGAACTTGGAAAATGACCATTTGAGGAAACAAAAACAAATAGACAAAACCTAGTAGAGTACAGTAAGACACTCAGAAAAGAGTTAGACATGTGCCTGTATGCGTATGAAGATTGGCACCCATTCTAAGCTGAAAAGAAAACAACTCTTTAAACACTATTTAAGCTGAGATCTAAATCATTACGAGAGGGATGCAGAGCCATTGTACTCAACACTGTCAAGGAATATCTGTGGCCTTTGTACAAACCAGTTTCTCTGTACTTGAAGAAGCATTTTATGTGGTTCTTCAGAGCTTGGTGTAAGGTCAGTGTGACACAGACCCACTGAGAACGTGGCAGGGTAAAGCAGGAGAAAGAAGGAACGCTGTGTTTCCCAGAAAGGAGAAAGAGCATGGATCAAAATTGATTTCTGCTGTATGATACAGCCTAGAGAAACCATAGATCAAGAAGCAAAGTTAGCTTTCTTCATCTTCAGAGTGATTCAACAGGTACCCAAATTACTGAATTATTTTTAATAACAGTTATCTAGAGCTGAAAAATGTGTCTAGTGGATGTGAAAATAATAATTTCAAACCACTTCTGAAACACTTGAAAGAACCTTGTGGCAAAATGTCTGAAACAAAAAAACGAGGTATTTAATGTGAATTCCTGTGGTGTAGCACAGATCAAAGTTATTGAAGGTGTAAATTTGTGTGTATAGGGTATGAGAAATGAATCGTTTTCCAAAGTTCATGTTTACATTCATGCTTTCTCTCTGCCTGTATGTGCAGGATGCTGGAGTGTAAGCATTTCTATGAATTTAAAACTTTTATAAAAGGAGTGATACTCTGTGTGAAGGAGGCCCTTGCCATCCAGTCTGTAGCAGAGTGTCGTCCTTCAGAAAATCTTACATTTCTTTTAAAGTTATCTCATGTAAACCATTGTGACATAATATATCTATGTCATGGTCCAATTTCTGTGGAAACCTGTATAGTTTGACCTCAATGCCAGGTGGTTGATAGATGAAACTTACTCACTCAGCCAGTAATTGGTGCTTGTTCTGTTCTTCCTTACTGGTAATTTCTGCAGTGGAGAAAAAAGTCAGAATTTCCATTTCACTGGAAATTTGAATATTTTAACATACGATTTCATCCCAAACTTCAGATGAAAATAAAAATTTCTGAAAAAAATTTTGCTTGGAACACATGGGAAAAAATGCAGTTAATGTGACACTGTAATGCAATTGCTAGCAGTAGCACAATACCTCCTAGAAACAGAAATTTTAATGGTTTATCCCATCATTCTTCATGGACTGGGTCCTTTGAAGAGACTACTTCTACTGTTACGTTTGTAATTATGACTCCTGTGATGCACCAGGGCTGTGTCTGTGTGACTGGATACATCATCTCTGAGATGCTGGACCACGGATAAGCAGATTAATATCAAATTGATTATTTAGGTTCAGTTCTGCAAACCAGAACATCTCAGGTCAAGCCAAACTGAAGTACCTGATTCTTTTCCTTCCTTTCCTGATGAAAACTTGGTAGCGTTTCCATATTCACCCACGCAACTGGGTAAAAATGTAATTTTCCATTGAAAAAGTCATGTGATTAAAAAAAAAACCACCAACATTCCAGCAAGCTCTAATAATGAGTAATATATTTGCTGCCTGTTCTACTCCTTCATACATACTCAAAATAAGTCTTTTTACTTTGATACACTAACACTTGCCATTCCCACCCTAATGCAGCGTTCATTAATATCAAAGCCGTTTAACTTCCCTTCTCCCACTTCCCCATCTTTCCTCCTCAGTCCGTTACATCTGCTGTAGCTGATACAGTCCTATCAGGTATATTGTGCTTTTGGATCTCTTTACAGGGTCTTTTTTGTTTCAGTTTGGGGTGGGGAGGCAATTTATTTTTTGTGTATGTGATGGACCATAATTACCCACATGTTTTTTCCAAAATTTCCTTAATCTCAGATACCTAGGATGTGTGGGAAAGGGGCAGACATGGAGGAACATACCCTGGGTAAACATTTGGTACTACATTTGCTTCAGTCTGGACAAGACCACAAATGATAAGGGCAAACTTAAGCGTGTACTTTAAAGTATGGAAAGAAAAAAGTAGCCATTTACAAATTATGAAGTACTAATGGGATTTTTGTAATGCGTGGAACATCTCCAAGAGGTTCATATGATCTACCAGTGAAATAACATCCTCTTTGAAATAGTACTTCTGATCAGAATATAGGGAGGTGTTAGATTTAGTTTTGCGGCACAGGATACAAGCTCTGCTGCAGGAATCAGTGAAGAGAAAGGATGCTGGTGTAGATAAAGATGGTGTGGGAGGGTGTATGCGGTATCAGAAGCATTCATTCTGGAATTTACCTAACAGAAAAGTCATTGAACTATAATGCAGTAAGTGTGGTTTTAATACAAAGCACAGAAATGCTATAAAGGAGGTGTTTCAGAAAAGAAATAAAACGTAGGAAAATTCTTCTGTTTGTATTGTCTTTAATGATTAAGGGTTTTTACAATTTAGGAAGAGGAAAGTTTTAAGTAACATCTATCAAGTCAATAAGAAGAGCATGTGCATGGAAGAGTCTGTAGAGAAGCTATCAAAGGGGAAGGAAGAAGCTACTTAAAATAAGCAAGGAGAGGAAATGTAATTAAATGTTAGGACAGATAATGCAAGGAGAAATAAAAGGATGATAAATCCTGGCATTGACAATGTGCAAGTGGTACTCCTTGAGCTAGCAAAATGACATAGAGCTGACTGGGACATACATGGGCTACAATTTAAAACGTGTGCTATAAACACATAAATACAGGAGTGGCATTCAGCTGTTAAGATCAGATGACGGGCTTCCCTTCTCAGCTGGGTTATGTGTGCCTGTGTGCTAGGGGGAACAGTCACTTCTGTGGGCTTGATTATGAGGGCTGCTTTCTGAACTTTGATTCAGTAAATCAGTGTGTTCTGTAAATACACAGCACAATCTGTGTATGCTGTAGAATGTGTGTGCTGGTTTTGCTGCTTTTCTTTTCCATTTCTGGGCTCAGCTCCTCGGTCCAGAAACGCTTTTACTTTCTATTGCTCTGTTAACCTTTGGATGACATCTCATGTGTGTTTACAGCTTTCGTACAACAGCTGACTGCAACAATCTGTGAATTAATTTGCCAGGCACAACTTCACAAAGAGGGGGGAGCATTCTCTTTTGTGATCTTTTAGATGTGAGGAGGTATGATTGGTGTTCAGTGATTGCCAAAACTTCTACCTAAATTATGAAATACGTATCATGATTGTGAAGATGATCAGCCTATGTTTGCTTCAGGAGGTATGCCAGCAGAGAGACCAGTAACATAATGAACAGAGTTGCAGCTATTCTCACTTGAGATTTATTTTTTTTGGTGGGGAGAGCAGGAAGAGGTTCTCCTTGCATAGAAATTTATAAAGACCAGTGACAGGAACAGAAAACAATTATTTTATTATTACTTTTTTTAATAGAGAAAGTGAAAGTTTGGTGCAGAAAGTAGTAGTCAGAATGATGAAGCAGCTTCTAATAGAGCTTGGAAATAAAGGGTATCATTGGGACACATAAAATATGTTTAGTACATAGTTGAGTATTTCAGTGCAGTAAACTCAAAGGTGCAGATCAAATTCAATTTTTGATACTTAGATTCAGCTTATTTTACAGATTTATGAGTTACTCAACTCTTTGTAAAGATCCAAAATATACAAAGCATGTCTTAATTTATAATGTTCTGACTTTCAGAGTTCAAGAAAACGAATTCCAGTTGACCAGTGTGTTAGTATTTATTCACTACGTCTTACTTAAACTACCGCCATCGACAGTGACTCTGTATTGTGTCAAGGTTTCTGTAAGGAGACAGATAAAGAGCTTATCTCCTGCACGCATTCTGACTTCATGATTTTCCTACTCCATTGACTTGTCTGTCTTTGAGCCTTTGGTGCCGTATAAAAAACTCAACTTTTTAATCCCAGAAACATGGTGAACAACTGCATCAAAAAATCACAGTTACAAAATGCTGCAAGCAGTGGAATAGCCACACTTGTGGCTCATCTTTTACAGCCATTCAAAGGTGTATTTTCCAGTTCATCATACAGTTTAACTGTGGAGCTTTGCATTGGATAAAATATGACAGCATTACTCTTTTGGCAGTGTCAAGTTACTGATGTTCACCACAGTGAGAGATCAGTGATGAGGACACTGAAGGAAGAAGTACTGCTGGGTCTCAAAAGCTGAAGTGTATGGGTCTGTTGTATATGAAAAGCTTGTGAGAAAAACACGACCCATTTATGAGACCTAATAACAGTCTGAGCATGGTAACGTTATGCTTCTCGGTTAAAACTGGCTACATACAAGCACACACATGTACTAAGTTTCCTTGTTCCTAACTGCTCATTTTCTTTTTTTTTTCACTAGGGCATATTTCAAAACGTTTGTGCCTCAGTTCCAGGAGGCAGCGTTTGCTAATGGGAAGCTTTAGGGAGCCTCGGGCACGGAAGCGATACTGGACAGATCCTTCAGTCTGCGTGTGTCAGCCCAGAAGAAGAATGCCTGGAAATGGGTTGGACTGGTTTGATAGGTGCTTTCTTGCCTCTGAAATGGCTTTGGTAGCTTCAGTTTTTGTCAGATTTCTGAAACAAAGACCTCACGAGCATGCTTAAAACTGAATATTTGGTATTTGTCGTGTCCCTTTGCCTCTGCCACCACCATTCCTTTATATATCCACTGGATTAAATTTAAAAGGTCATGTTTTGGAGTGGTAACGCTTTCTTGTGCCAACAATGTTCTGTACATTATTCCTCGTTTCCTTGTCTTCAGATGGTGTAAATTGGATAATTTTTTTCCATGGAAATACTATGTAATCTGTATATTTAGTTAATATTTCCAGCTTATCCTAAGAATATATAAAACTGCCATATGCACCAGGAATGCTTTTTAATGGACTGTACAATGCCATATTCTGCCTTGGAGGTCTGCATCTCACCGTGGTGGTTATTCTCACAGATATGGGTATCAGTTGCACAGTTCAATTCTCAGTGCCTTTCAACTTGGTCTGATATTAATATGGCCAAGTGTTAGAGGGTGTTTTTTTTTAATATTTCAGTTGAAAGCTTGTCTTGTATGAACTGCTATGCTTTTATGCTTTGTTTTTATTTTCAGTTGTACAATTTTGGTGTTTTTCTAATGAACATCCCTTGCCATTACAAAGAAGTCCTACTTCTTTACTATCAGTGCACAAGGAACTAGTTACACAAATCAGTATAACAAAATAAAGCTCTTTCATAGACCTGTAATTTTTCCAAGTAAGATAAATACTGCTAAGAAGCAAGCTTTCAGCAGAAAGGAATGAATTATATCTTGGAAAATAGCTGATGAAATAATGTAGGGCTATAGGTATTTAGCTTAATGCTTAAGTTCAACATGTCTTCTCAGAAATAATTTTAAGTGTATGTAACTGGAAACATTACCTCCCCTAATTCTGAAATGCCAAATGCAAAATTCCATCTATCCATCCTTTCTTTCACGCTTGTGTCAGGCGCACCAGTTGGGGCTGTCACGATGTCACTTCCCAAATTAATTTGTAAATAGACCAGGGTACTTTCCAGTAAGGAATAAAATTACCAGTGTATGTTGCTTATAAATGGCATATGGAAAATATGCCCTACTTCTGCTAAATATAAGGAACTAAATGAATAGTATGCAGATGATACAGAGGCACTGGAAAACATTTAATTTTAAATTATTCGCTATAGCACCAGTGTTTGCTTACAAAGTGAAATCTCATCAAATTACTTGATTGGCAGCATTCTCCTACCCTTTCTAAAACTTGCTGGTTTGCATTAAAAATAGTTCTTTTCAAGGGAATGTCCACCTAGGAAATGTAGATGGGTTTTGAGCAGTGAAGCTTAATAATTAAAAATTATGCAAATAATTTGCCTCTAGAAACTACAGGTATTTTTAGCTAGTTTATAGGCAAAATTATCGTTTATGTTTAATACTGAAGTTCTTGACTGGAAATTAAGCTGCAGGCTTTAGTGCAGATCTACAGAGAAGGGGGCATTCTCTGTCCTGTGACCCACCTCTGTGACTCTCACTGCATTATCTTAGGGCCATAAAGAGCTCCAAAGATCTGAGCCTGGATTCCCTCGGTGGAGGCACTGCGTTAGGCTTTCACATGGAAACCAAGACCTACTGCAGATGAGGAGGATAATGGTTTCATGTGAATAGCAAAACCATAAGTGAACAACCTTAAATGACTGAAAGCACACGTTGTTCAGTCTACAGGGATGATCTGCATTTCTTCAGGTGAAAGTCAAAGCTCTGCACAGACATTGAAGAATAAATCAACTCTGTGAATGGGGTGGGAGAAGTAGGTTAATGAAAAACATATGTTCTCACAGTGTTCAGAATCTGATAGAAGCAATCTCTGGCATCTTCAAAAGGTAAAACCCAAACCCTCAAGTCCCATTCCGGATTCCTGGAATCTTACATTTTGTAACCTTGTGTTTGATTCAGAGTTGTAGTGACTGACCACTGAACACAGTGTTCAGGTGGCACCAGTATTTTTTTAATGTTTTCAGAAATTACCATGTTTCAAAGTCTAGCAATTGCAAAAAGTTTCAAAAAGACGTCCACTCTTTAGAATTAATATGCATTTTCAACCGAAAATTCATCCTTCATCTCAGTCCGAGTAATTTTGGACAAAAGACTGGTTTATTATTATTTTAGAAGCCATATAAGAAAAGACTTTAACAACATAAAAAACTAAACTAGCAGTTCTTTATGTTGAATTCAATAATGTTTCACCAACTTTTCACTAGCATATATGGAAATGGGCCAATGGTTTCAGTCTACTTTTACTTCATGCTGGTTGTATTTTGGGGGGGGAAAAAAAAAAGAAAAAGAAGTTGAGAAACTGAACTGTTTGTGTTTAAGATAAAATCTGCAAGCCTATAAATTTTTAAATTAGAAGAAAAGGCATTTTTCTTAAAGAACACTTTATGAATTCTTTATTTCAAAGCCACCCTGCACTCTTTGACCTGCACAGTATTTTATGGGGCCCTTCCTGATAGTTCTCAGAAGAATGTACTGGAAGTGTTACCACTACAGATGGGGTACTGGAAGGAAAAGACATGGGAATGAGTGAAATATTCTCCACAGAAGGAAGATTACCACATAAATACTACATCAGAAAAGAGAGTTAGAGTAATTTTATATCAAATCAAGTATTTGTTGAAGGCATTTAAGTTAGTCAGAAGAGTTATAAGCTGGAGTTATTTCTGTTATCTGCTGTTTTCTGATAATATCCATGGTGGCCAGTTTAGTGGCAATGAGGCTTTCAGTGCTTGCTTTCATATGCTGTGATATATGCGATTGAAATGAGCAGTCAGACCTAGGCTACTTTCTTTGGTTTATGAGAAACACAAAACACAGAAGAAAAATAGCAAAGTTATGAACATACCAAAAACCCTAAATTCTACTCTACCATAATTTTGATTTAAAGAATGCAGTCTCTAGTAATTAAGCCCCATTAATGCATGATTTTTCAAAGGTTCTTGAAGTACAAATTTATAGTCAAGCCTGCATTCATCTGCATACGTAATCCACCATGCTAGAAGTAATACCAAATTTTTTTGATTCAAAGTTAGATTTTTTGTGTACTTGCTGGAAAGTCTGGACAAACAGCTGGAAGAATAAATGAAAGTTAACTATTTCATACCTGGCTTGGCCTTTCTGTTGTGCTGGTCATTGCTTTGTTGATCAGCGTATTTCGTTTGCTGAATCAGCAACGGTTTCCATATTATCGGTGTCCTTCATCATCCTCCTATCCATATATAGAGTAGACTTGACTCAGTTTTTGAGGAGAAATCATTGGTAGAATTAGCACAGATCTCCTACATGTTGTTAGACTGTCACTAGGCACGTTTCTCTGTGTGATTTCTTCCTGTCATCCTGTCTGGCACTTGCAGCAGTAAGCTGCTTTGGTGAATCAGTCAGGAGATGAGATTTAGCAATGATTAAGACTTACTTCAGGTGTTTTTATACAAATAAACTTCTTACCCAGGAAAGAGGGGAATAGGTCTGGTTAGTCTCTGTTGAGCAGTGCCCCCTAACACAAATCTGGGGGTTTAGCTGAGGTCAAAAACCTGTTTCAGTAGTGAGTAGGGACTGCTGCTTGGACATCCTCCTCCTATGTGAGTACCCTTAACAACTGGAGAAGCAGCAGGCAGTAGTAACCCATAGTAATATTTGAGAGTCACCCCTGCAGGTCTGAATACATTTCTAAATAATTTCATATCTACGTAGCAGCGATACGTGGAGATGAAGGGGTGAGTCCTCTGTCAGTGCACCAGGGGAGTTTCTCACCTTTCCAGCTTTGTGAGAAAGGCGAGCTGCAAGGAAGTAACAAGCTTTGGACACAGCTTCTGACCATAGCTGTTAATTACAGGATGCTGTCCCTGCCCTGGGAAGCAAATGAAGTCTGTGACCAAACTGACTGCCAGTGAATGCTCTTGTCTTACATTACTAAAGTCTCTGTAATTGATGTATTGTAACGCTCATTAAACCTAAAGGTTACACTGTTTCTTACTACTTCTATTTTACTGAAAATCCCTTAAGTTTTCTCCTTTTCCATTTTTACTTTCAGGTATCTGTAATGTTCTGGGCCAATTTTGGCTTATCCTTACTAGTTACAGCAGTCTTTAGCAACTTTGAGGTTTATGTTTTAACAAGACAACCAGTAGCTGTTCCAACTGTTCCAGCATCATATAGACCTACATTAAATACAGAATGATTTGACATAAAAATAGTAAGTCTTACTGTAGAAACTTGTTTTTTATTTATTACATTAAATATTGTTTTCTCCACAACAGAATAATTCTGAAAAAAATACTCTCATGTTACCGTGAACTTACAGGATAGTAATGCTGATGGCATTGGATGCATTTTTTGCACCAAATCTTAATTTAATTTGCATCTTAGCATCAGCAGGGGGAAGGTGTATTCTCCTCTTCTGGAGGAAGCCCGCACCTAAATAAACCATTGATCAGGCTATGTCTTTCTCTGTTTGTATTTTGAAATAATAGGGTTTGTCCCTATGGGCAAAGCCAGTAAAAGTCTGAACAACAGTATACGTTTTTGTAATTTCTTTTTTTTTACTGACTTCTGTAGATTCAGAGAATAATTTGAAACTTAGTGCTGGGGGAAGGTAAACACCACAGGTATCAGAAACATGCAAGTAATTTTAGCTATGTAAGAAATAAGACTAGCAGTCCAATATTCTGCAGGCACTGAGGAGTTCTGCCATGTATTTCTAAGCATGTGGCTTTAAAGGCCATGGTATGTAGATGATTTTAGTGCTGTTTTTCCTATTCTATTCCCTGTCTTAGATGTAAAAGCTCAGACCTTGGTTCCAAAGCACTGCACAAACACCATTTTGTTAAAATGATAGTTCCCAAGCAAAAAGGCGGGGGGGAAACT